CCAACATATAGTTTTAAAAATCATCATTATTATTTATTTTCCTAACTAGAAAGTAAGGTCTTTAATGCAGAAACGTAGCTGTGTTGTTCACCAATGAACCTCTAGTACCTGAAATAGGGTCTAGAACACAGGTGTCAACAGGCGGTTGTTGGGTGGATACACGAAAGCATGTATGTGAATATCATCTCAAGCACTTGTTCACTGTGCAGCTTTGGGAAACTTACACAGCTCCAGTGAATGTTGGCTTTATCTATAAAATGAAAACATGAGTGTCCAACTGATTAGTTTTTTGTGAAGAAAGCATTATAAATTAGAAAATTCATTTTCTACCACAGTGATTGGAATATATTAGGTATTTAATGATATATAAAGGAATAACAGCTTGAAGCAAGTCATGAAAAGGGAAAGTTCCTCATCTGATGTAAGGCACTAAGAGATAAACCCGAGAAGACGCAGCGTAATTTCGGATATGGTGCAGCATGGCTCTTGCCTGTCTAGGATACAGCCAGACAGAAGAAGCTGCAGTCTCCTACAGCCACCTCTGACAGCTTCCCTGACACTGAGATACTTGCTTATGTGCTCAAGCTGTCTTGCTCCCTCAGCCCCAGTCAGGTGGAGATTATATATATATATGTACACACACACACACACACACACACACACACACACACACACCAGGGGTGCCAAAAAAGTGTATATATATAACTTACATTCATCTTTTGTTCTCAGTATATACTGAGTATTACAGTTTTAATACAATTTTTTCCTTTCTTAAAATGTGTATACATTTTGTTGGCACCTATGGGGCACAGAAACATATCTAGAGATCTTACTGTAAGAAAATAAATATCTTTAACCATTATTACATTGATCGAAATCTGTTACCTTTGTCCTGAAATCATTTTTCTCTATCTGTCTTTATGGGAGCAGCCAAAGTATTTTGTTGAAATCAGCACTTGTGTAGGTGGGAGTAGGCAGACACTGCAAACATAAAAACCAGTCAAATTCTCAGGAATATATGTTATCAGTAGGCCTCCTAGGTTTCCACTGGCCCTCATGTGATTCAAGTCCTCTACAATAGCCTGAACTTTATTTCAAAATGAATAAATTGTTCATCAATTCTCCCTTCCCTTCCACAGTCAGTTTTCTAAGTGTAAGAAATCTCCATTAGATTTGAGGAAGCTGTCAATTTTAATTCCTATAATGGAATGAACAGTAATCGGGGCTGTCCAACACAACCTGTTGTCCTGATATAATTATTAACAGCATGTCTATTCACTTGCAAGAGCGTCTTCCTATTACAATAATTTATATGCTCATATTACTAAACAGTATTTGTTAAATGAAAAGAAGCTATCTGTACATGTGAAATTACAGCAAATAGAACAAAGCAAAGCGTAGAGGGTTAGGATGCAGTGTGGGAGAGATTTTGGGGTCAGAGGGTTTTTCAATTGTCCCTTGTTCATCTAAATATGGAAACAATCTTCTTGTGTGGTCAGCCCTGCTGGATTCAGTTCTGTAAAGGAAGGAAACACATAAATTGAACTGAAGACACAAAATTAGTGCAAACAAACTCGTTTCAATCTCCTTATGAAACACACATGGCAATAATATATCCATTTCAACTTTTTTCAGCAATATTTTATGAGTTACTTCATAAATTATACATAAAACATTAAGGGATATCCACAGGGCAGAAATTAGCATTAACATGTGCTAGTTCAGTTAAGAAAACTGAGGCTCAGAGACATTAGTGGACCAAGTTGGAAGAAGCCACTCAGGACACAGAACTGATCAATGCAATTCTCCTTCATGTGCTCTTTGACCTTATATGAAGAATCCGGGGGAAGGCCCCAGAAAGGAAATGAAGTAATGTGAGCTAGAAACAAAGTGATGCAGAAACGGCAGGATATACAGTCCTTATCAGGCAGCAGCTCAGCAGGATGCTTTCGTGGCACCTGTTCAGAACCGCAAACTTCCGACCTAAGACAGTTTCCGGACACAACCTGTTCATCTTCTTTTTTTTTTTTTTTGGTTTCCTTTCTC